AGCGGCGGCGGCGGCAGCGAGAGCAGCAACAACGGCAGCGACGACGAGGAAGAGGAGGAGGAGGAGGAAGACGAGGAGGAGGAGGAGGAGGAAGAAGAGGAGGTCTCCGAGGTACGGCGCGGGGGAGGCCCCGGGGGTTTCCCCTGCTGATCCGGTTTCATAATTCCAGCTCGCTCCCGGCTCCCCCCGCCCTCGGCCCTGCGGCAGAGCCGGGAAGGGGCAGCACCTCGTGGTGGGGGACGGCCGATCCCGGCCTCCGGTTCCCCCCCCGCTCGCCGGGATGCGGGGCCGGCTACCCCGGTTGTCCCCAGGGATCGGAGGCTCCCGGGGAGCCGCAGCCAGCGGCCGCCTTCATCCCCGGTGCGGCTTTATCCCGAAGGGAAAGGCCCAGGAGCCGCTGCAGGTGCTGTCTGGCACGGTGCTGTGTGCCATGTGCTGTATGGCCATGGATATGGGAGCCGGGAGAGGGAGAGCCGAGCGGGGGGAGTGCTCCGGAGATAGGCCGGAGCTGCGTGGCTGGGGAGGTGCTGGCGCGCCCAGCGGTGGGAATAAATCGTCTTGGAGAGAGCGTGCAGGTAAAGCAGGTGAAGGTGCAGCCAGCCCAAAGCTGCCAGAGAGGCCAGGGCGTTGGACTGCCGGTTCTCTCCCAACCTGAAAGCCGCCCTGGTTCCGTGCAATGCAGAAAGAAGCCCAGGGAAGCATTAGTAACTCGATTTTGTCTGGTGTTAGGGTTTTCAGGTAGGTATCGTTGGAAAAGGCCGGTAAGGCTCGAGCCCCTTATTTGCATGTGTAGTCACACAGGGTTGCTTTGCTGAATGGTTTTAATTCTGTAACCTCCACAGCTGAACGTTCACTTCCGCTTTGGTTTTTGGGTTTTTTTTTTTTGAGTTGTGTCCGCAAAAAGTCCACTCTGAGGTTTTTTAGCTTTTCTTTGAACTTGGTTTCCAAGAGGTTCGGCTTTCGAGTGGTGTATCTACAGTTCTGTTAGAAATCGGGCAGGAAGGAAGGGTCTGATAGGTTCAAGGAAGGGCTGGGCTGGGATGGTGATAGGTTTTTCCACGGTTAAGCAACAACTCTGCATTCTATTCCTGCTGAAGTCGATACAAGAAGCATTTTTATCCAGCTGTTTGAGATAAATTGCACGCAGTGAGCGTGTCTCAAACAAGTTGCTTGTTTCTCTGGTGTTGATTTTTGGGACAGTCAGTGTCGTTGTGTAGGTAGAAGTTTTTTAATTGTGTAAGACTTTGTAGGATAACTGGTTTGCTGCTGAGCTATGTTGCCCAGCAGTCCTACAGGTGCTTGGAGAGCTCTGCTGAGCAAAGGCCTTTGGGATTTGCTGTGGCAATGCGTGGTGAGGGGCTGGAGGCCCTGGAGTGACTTCATTGTATCTGTGGGCTGCCAAGCCCTGAGATGAGTTGCCTGTGATGGAAACATTCCACAGAATTTGTGTCAACTGAGACCTGCTGGTGGGAGCAGGGGCAGGTTTCTTGCAGTGGTCCATGATCATTCTTCCCAGTGGCTCCTTCTACTGGGAGCTTTCAGGTGGAACCAATCGTGTGTGTGGCAGGATGAGAAGGGCAGAGACAGCTGAGGAGTTCAGGTGGTGGATGAGGTGAGCCTTTGCCTGCATGCTCTGCCTTCAGAGCCATAAGCACCTATTTCACCCTCTTAGGGAGCTGCAGAGAGGAAAAAATGCCAGTGATCATTAAATATCATGAGGCAGCAGAATACTTCACTTTTTTTTGTGTGTGGTTTTTTTTTTTGACAGAGTGACATGTGCTGTAGATACTGTTACAGGCAGTTTGGGCATCTGGAAGCTTCCCTGATGGTTTCATCTTCTATTAGGTAAAGGCTTTCCCAGGCTGGGTGGTCTGGGATTAAATATTAAGCAGGGCTAAGTAAGCAAGTGAATAATCCTGAGATGATGAAATTCAGGATTCACAACAGAGTATATGCCACATACTTCATTTATAATTGTTCTTGGTCATGCAGGTTGCTTGCAAAAATCTGTTCTAGTCTTTCTCCTAGTGACTTGAGGATAAAATGATGCAGTTTGTAGAATACTTATGCTGAAGTCACAGTTTTGAGGAATGTGAACATGAGGATGGCCTGACTAATGGAGCAGAGCATCCAACTTGAACGTTGCTCTCACCAGCTCCTGGGGAGAAAACGTGTTTGGGGTGTTGTCAGTGAAAGGGGGTTTCGTGGTCTGAAAGGAACATGATGGTTAGTTTTGGCTTTTAAAAGCTTGAAAGAAATAAACCCACTGTAGAAACAAAGGGCTTTTTAGTTGTTTGGGGGTTAATTTTTTTTTTATTTCACATGTTCTTGAGTTGTGCCCAGCTCTGCAGTTGGATTGTGGTCTTCTGACCACGGGCAGTCTGGAAAGCGCATAAAGTGAAAAATACAAAGAAGTGTAAGTTGCTGGTTTTGCTGTAAATGGAAATTACTGTGGGAATGCTGCAGGAGCTGGTGTTCCCTCCCAACCATTCCCTTCATTATCTCTGTAAACTTAAGATAGTTTGTCTTAGGCTATTTTTTGCCCTTCCTATGCTTAATACATTAAGACTTCTCTAATCTCTGAAGCAAAGTGCTTCTAGATTTGACTGCTAATGAGACTGCTTTTAAAAATCAGGAGTACAGTAGCAACAAGTCCAAGGAGTTCTAAAGGGAAACCTGGTGCATCCTGAGTCACAGAAACTCCAGGAGTAGAAAGACATTGTTGGGCTTGGTTGTTGCTGAGCTGATGGAAGGGAATCAAGAGTTACAATCAGCTCTTTTCATCTCTGTGTCTGAACTCCATCAGAGCTCAGTGTGGAAACACAGGCAGTGTGGAGAGCTTTGGGAGAAGTTCAGTGGAAATTGTATACCAAGAACCTGAGGAGCTCCTGCCACGCTGTTCACATCAACCTCCAAGGTTGATTTTTTTTAAATTGCAGCAGATTACTACAAAACCCCAAGACTTCAGTTAGTGTGGGGGTCCAGTGTTGCCTGTAAGAGGTGAATTGCCTTTTCCCTAAAGAACAGCTGTTAAAAAATGGTGACTTTTCTCAGTGTAGAGGAAGAGGCATCTTAAGGGATGAGAAGAATGGCAGTAGGGGTTACATAGCAGGAGAGGTCAGCTTGCAGGTTCCTTCCAAACTTTCTTGTACGTACAAATTTTGTTCAGCACTTCAATTCATAGTGAAATAGTGTAAAAAAATGAGCAGGTCCTTGTAGCCAGTTGCTGTTTAGAAACCTGATGTCCAGAGTGCATTAGAGACTTCTCTTATTTGACAGTGAAAGGTTTAGTTGTGTAATAAAAATTGTTTACAAGCTGATTTCAAGTCTTTGGATTTGGAGGATGTTTGGTGCTGGCAGTGAAATTTATAATTGTCCTTTATATCCATCTTAAGAGTTTGTAAGTTAGGTTCTGTCCATGAATCTTGCCATGATCCAAGGTGTAGATCCATCTTGGATTTCTGTGGATTTATTGCCTTTTACTGGATTCTTATGCACTGTGCAAATTATCCTCAGTTAACTGTACCTGAAAGCGCTGCCCTGTGCAAGGGATGCTTTTTGAGGTGTTTTGGCTGTTTTTTAAGCATTCTTGGTTCACTTGGGCCTCCTGTAAGTAAAAGTTCATTTTTTGTTTTTTCAGCTGCAATTGAAATAGTAATTGAACTGAGCTAGTAAGATGAAGTAAGTAGAACAACAAACCACCACCAGTCCTCTGAAATTTCTCCATGCAGAAGAAGCTGCTCTGAATTCCTTGGATTCAGATTTAAGGCAAAGTTAATCTGAAAACTTGGGCGTCCTGGTGTGGTTTCAAGAGCATCACAGGCATGTGCTTGTAATATTTAAATTGGAAAACACTTGTATTGTAATATTTAAATTGGAAAACACTTGTACAGCTGAAGTGTTCAAATGAGCTGATTGGAAGCACAGAAATTATTATTATTATTTTAGGGATCTGTTTCCTTTTTTTAACCCTAACAGTCTTCATCAGAATCCTGGAATAAGGCCTTTGGATTCTGCAGGGCCACCATGTCTGGCTTGACCACTTCACTGCCGTTATTTTCATGTCCTTGGGTCCCCACAGATGTGACTGAACATGCAACTGATGGGGCCCTGTCCTTGTGAGTGTGTGACATCCCAAGGAGCAGTTCAGTCTCAGATTCTGCTGCATTGTTTATATTCTGATTTTTTATTTAATATTTTTTTTCTGATAGCTTCAGCTGTGTTTTGCCTGTACCACTTTGTTGCTTCCTTTCATAAGAGGAAATTGGAGAGAAATATCGTAGGATGGTTGTCAAAAATCCCTGGACTCTCAGGGCTGATCCCAGGGCTGTTGGTAAGGGAATCCCACAACCAGGTTTCACCAGTAGGAAACCTGGACCGCAGGAAGCATTAGCCAAAACTGCTTAACAT